CATGAACTCATCACTCCCAAGCACATGATTCAAATAAAAATAAAATACTCATTGGAAAAATGGGCTACCCACACACCCAACATCATGGCTGAGCTACAGCAGTTGTCAGTCTATGTATAAAAGAAAACAACCAACATTTTGTATGAATTTCAAAGATAATGAACTATTTGTCTCTTGTTAGTAGCTAATGTAAATATGAGAGCAAATAGCATTTTGGTTCCAATAAAAACATAGAACTTTTCAAAATGCTCATACATAAATCCTGACATCAAAATGTACGTATCTTAAGATGTTGGAACATGAGCACCAAATGATGTGCTTAATACATTTGTTCTTTCTTGAAGAGATGAGACATAATCGTATGCAATCATCTTGTAGCTAGGAATTATATTAAGAACTCTGAACTATAAGTACTAAATCAAACTAAATAGTCTCTTATCCTATTTTTCTCTCTCATACTTGTCATTACTTCCTGAAGTTCTCATTATAACTACATAATTCTACCCCTCATAACCCATAGGTTTTCTTCAGAAAAGGAAGATAGCTTCCCCCACTCCTTTCCCTCAGAACAAGTTTTCTCCCCACAAATGCTCATGGGGTAAGACCCACAGACATAATTTCAATGAACAATAATACCTTACTAGGTAAAAGAACTAGTTTATTGCTGCCTTACTTTTTGCAAATAGTTATTCTGTCTTTAAAATTTGCTATTGTTATCCCTTGAGAAAAGACAACTTGTTCTAAGAGAAATGTTAATGGGAAAATATGAGCTACATTGTGATGTTAAATACTATTTTTCCAAAGCTAAAAAACCACAGTCCTTCTTCATTCGGTCCTAAAGAAGACATAACATCGCTGGCTAATGGGCTGTCAACAAATGACCGTTATTGAATGAATAATAAAGGAATAATAGCAATGTGATTTCCACTTACATCAACCACAAAAATCTTCTGGGAATCATCCAAAAACTGCACTTTTAAATGTAGCATTCTCAGCGAGGCCGTTGGGCTGCAAGCAGGCTCAGAGTGCTGTGGGTGCTTTCTCTAGGAATTTCACTCCCAGCTGGATGTGGTGCACTCAAGTCCCCCCACCCCCAGCCAGGCATCCCCACTCTCAGCGGGGCACACTTCCGTTTGCTTGAAGTAATGCACACCCAAGGGCGTTTGTGCTGCCGAGTACAGGGGATCAATAACATCTGGGCAGACTCCTGTTTGGTCAATATCAAATCCAACTGGACTTCCTCTAGCCCTCTTAAACTCAGTTCCTTTCTTCGAAGAAAAATATTAAAAAAACAAGCATTTGCAGTCCCTGGGGATTTTCTTTATTTCACTAGGGCACAATTTGAAAATGCTAGATGAAGCTTTAACACACTGAGAATAGCCATTCACAAAAGTAAAAAGATTAGAGTTAATCTCAAATTGTACTAGAAATTTCATGGCCGAGCTAGGAAGCATATATACATATATATATATAATTATATATGTAATGTATAATTGCATATCATATATAAACATGTATAATATAAAATTATATATATAATTTTAGTTATCTGAATTTACATGATTTAGAAATAAAAACTATATAAAAAGGTATATGGAAAACTTCACTTCCACTCCTGTTCCCTCTTTTCTGTGTCCCCAGTACACCCCTATTGGTAACCAATTTTTTTTCTTTCTATTCCCATAGAATTTATGTGCTTATATCTATAAAGAAATGAAACAAGGAATACAACTGAAGTTGAACCCCATCTCAGCTGAACAAGAATAACATTCATGTATTCTTGGATAAATGAACAAATTAGGATAAAGAACATTCTAATAAAACAATTTTTAATCGTCAAATAATTATATTAGTATAGTTTTCATTATATACCAATAACTAGGATATCATTTGTTCTGGACTGAGAAAACACTTAAAGCAAGAACTAAAAAACTTATTTCCGTGTATATGTTTTGTTGACAAGAAGATAATGGGGTGAATGATTAAAAGATGTCAGGCACAATAGATTACATTATATTCTATTATGATAGTATTCTTAGCTGAAAGTGGTTTGAAAATACAGAAGGAGAAAAGCCAATTTAAAATGTTCAACTACTAAAGAACTAGCTCGTTTATTTTTATAAATGAATGAAGGGTATCAAATTGTTATGATATTTAAATTGTGCTGGATATGTTTAACATAGTGATGTAACAGTTTTTATTTTAAAATACCAATATTTACACGACACCAGCAAATACATACTTTGTCAACTATTTAACTTCTCATGAAAAATTTTAGATGTCAACTTAGATGGGTGAGGGGATATATGATTTTTCAAAATACTTGTAGGGAGCACATAAGCAGAATACTTTGTGGATTACTGCTTAAAAACACTATTTCTCCAAGTACAGTTGAGGGACAACTTACAGAATCAGCTGGGAAGGGTGGCCAACATTTTAAAAATGCAGATTCCTGGAACCCGTCCCCAAATTGGGTTATAAGGTTTGGGGTGGACCCCAAATAAATCAATTTTCAACATGCACCCCAGTTGACTCTCATGCAATCCATTTAGGAAGCACAACTTAAAAAAATAAAAACTAGCATTTTACAGCATTGTAGCCATGGCTGAAGAGGGAAAAAAACCTCACATACATTTCTGGACTGAGGACAGAACTGAAATAAAAGCTAACCAGGAGCCAGAGCTCACAAAATAGCAGCACCCGTGGAAGAGCCTAGAAATAGGAAAAGGTCACCGGGGAAGGAAGGCACTTTCCCCAGAATTCCTAGCATGGTCAAAGAACAGAACGGAAATGGAAGGGCTTAGGCAGGCTAAGCCCACTGTGGGCTCTCCACTGTGGTTGCACTTTTGGATAAAACAGAAGAAAGTCCTTTTCCATCTTGAACCAGCCTGAGGAAAGCTCGTGTTTAGGAGGGTCGACCATCACACCAAAATAAAACATGCACTAACGGAAGCTGATTGCCAAGCAGGTGACAGAGCACACTTTGGGAAGCACTACTGGAGGGGGGCAGAGACATACTTGCCATGAAAATGCCCTTGGGACCCTCTGTCAACACTTTTGGGATGGTTGAGTCACCTGTTCTGTTTTGGTCCCGCCAATGGCCTAAAGTGTAGTCTCAGAGCACTTGCCTTCTGCCTGCTCACTGGGTGGGGCTTGCCAACATCTGCTCTCTCTTCCTAGGATCACAGAAGAACTGCAACTTCCTAGGGAGCAGTTTCACCTCCATAGGCATCGCTTCATATTCCTCATTGTCAATGCTAAAAGAGCCCCTGCTCCCTCCGGGACAAGCAAAGTGCAGTGGCTGGCTTGGAGACACTCTGTGCCCTTGGCGTGAAGCTTGGGGTTTCGCTGATGGTGTCAGGTTCAATGCAGATATTCATAAAATCATCTTTGCTTGTCGGGTCAAGCTGATTGTTCCGTGTTGTGATGAACAGTTCAACAATGGACAGCTGCACATCTTTCCAGACCTCTGGGCTCACCTCTTGGGAAAGGGCATCCCGTGGTTGTGCCCAGTAGGATGCAAGCGTTTGTACTATTCTCCTCTATAAAGAAGGTCTTTGGACAGGGGTCTCCTCTGTTTCACTGGGAGATCTCTCTGTAGGTTCCATGTATGAGATAGAGGCTTAATGAGTCTGAGGCCACTCCATAAGACTGCTGAAAAAGTGGGCTACTTTGATTTCTAGAGGCCCAAAATACGAATATTTGCTAGCTTTGATGCCAGCATCTCTGAAGGATTCCCGTTGAAGACTGATCGTTGCAAACACAGGCTGTTCCTTTTCACCCTTGATCTGCAAGACATCAAGTGGAACTGCCCTTTCACAATGGCAAGTGTAGCATCAGTAATGCTTTGGATTTTGTTTCCCCTTTTGACAAAGAGGGTATGACTCAAACTACTGGTCTCTCCCAGTGGGATAAATCCAATGGGAATCTTATTGAAGGTAGCCTCATCTGTTCATCCAAGAACTCCAGCAACAACCTCCTGCAGTGTCCCATCTCCTCCTGCAACAATGATCACATCTGTGTTTTCCATCAGTTCCAGGAGTTTCTTGGCTTGTCCGTCACAATCTATCTTAACAATAGTCACATCCATGCCAGATAAATATAAAATCAGGGCAGCAGTGGCTTTGCCTTTGCAAGCTGCGGGATTGAGAAAAACAGTTGCCTTCTTTACTTGTGCATTGGGAGGAATGTGTTGATTGTCAAACACCTGAGCTTCTTGACCGGCTGCTCTCCTTAGTAGGTTATCAAAGTATTTTCCATAGATCCAATGGCCTCCCCAGGTCAGCAGGCAGAGCCCAGGTATAGTTTTCTTCCAATGATTTTGCAGTGCTTTGAAAAACACCGTCATCTTCTAGAGATTTGCACAGCTGATCTTGGTAACCAATTTTATTCACGTTTTGTTGTAGTTGTTCAGCCTTCAGTGTTTTCTTATGCAAATTTTATAGAAGCAAATACAAATGTTTATATCCTATGTGGGTAGCACACTATTATTACACTGTTTTGTGCATTCTTTTTCCTCATATATCATGGAGATCCCCCTTTACCTGTGCATGGAGAACTTCCTCATTTCTTTTCACAGATGCATAATTTTGTGCTGTGTAGATGAACCAAAGTTCACTCAACCAGTCTGAAATTAATATTTCAGCCTCAACAAGACTGAAATGAACATCTTGATACATATGTCAATTTATATGTGTGCAGGTATATCTGTAGGATAGATTTCCAGAAATACAGTTGCTGGGCAAGGATAATGAATTGGTAGTCATGATAAGCTATGTCTAGGTTTCCTTCTATAAGGGTTATTATGGGTTGAATTGTGACCCATAAAATTCTTATGTTGAAGTCCTAAGCCCTAGTAACTCAGAATGTGGCTGCATTTGGAGATAGGGTCTTTAAAGAAGTAATTAAGTTGAAATAAGGTCACTAGGGTAGGTCATAATCCAATTTGACTGTTTTCCTTATAAAAAGAGATTAGGACACAGACACGTAAACAGGGAAGACTACGTGAAGACACATAGAGGAGATGTCCATCTATAAGCCACGGAGAAAGGCATCAGAAGAAACCAGTCCTGCCAACACCTTGATCTCAGACTTCTAGCTGGCAGAATGGTGAGAAAATAGCTTTCTGTTGTTTAAGCCACTCGGTCTGTGATATTTTGTTGTGGCAGCCCCTACCAAACTAATAAGGGTTGTACCAATTTGCAGTTCCATTAGTAACGTATGAGAGTTACTCTTTTCTCTACAGGCTTGACAATGGAGTGTTGTATCAAACTTCCGGATGTTTGCCCAACTGATAGGTGGAAAAAAAGATCCTGGTATAGTTTTAAATTTGAACTTTTCATATTATGAGAGAAGTCAAGTGTCTTTTCATATGTTTAAGGGCCATTACATTTTTTTTTTCTTTGAGAAAGAGTCTTGCTGTCTCCCAGACTGGAGTGCAAGGGCATGATCTTGGCTCATTGCAACCTCCACCTCCTGGGTTCAAGTGATTCTCCTGCCTCCACCTCCTGAGTAGCTGGGAATACAGGTGTATGCCACAGCGCCCGGCTAACTTTTTTGTATTTTTAGTAAAGACAGGGTTTCACCATTTTGGCCAGGCTGGTCTGGAACACCTGACCTCAGGTGATCCACCCTCCTCAGCCTCCCAAAGTTCTGAGATTACAGGCATGAGCCACCACACCTCGCCCCAGTGCCATTATATTTCTATTAATTTCTTTTTTGTGGATTTCTTTTTCTGTGAAAGATGTGTTCATTTACTTCAACATCCCCATTTTATTTTTCTTATTTAAAACAATTGTATAAAGTTTAAGGAGTAAAAGTGCAATTTTGTTATCTGGATATATATTGAGTACTGGAGAAGTCAATGCTTTTATTGTGTCCATCACCCAAATAATGTACCGGTTAAGTAATTAATTGTAGTGGCCAAGCGATTTGTCACTATCCACCCCCTTCCCATCCTCTCACCTTTCTGACTCTCCAGTGTCTATCATTCCACCCTCTGTGTCTGTATGCACACATTATTTAGCTTATAAGTGAGAACATGTGGCATCTGACTTTCTGTTTCTGGGCTGTTTCACTTAAGATAGTGGCTTCTATTTCCATCCATGTTGCTGCAAGAGACACATTTCATTCTATTTTGTGGCTGAATAGTACTCCACTGTGTATACATACCACATTTTCTTTATCCAATCACCTGTTGATGAACATTTAGGTTGATTCCATATCTTTGCTATTGTGAATAGTGCTGCCATAAACAGATGAGTGCAGGAATCTTTTTAAAATATAATGATTTCAATTTCTTGGGATAGATACTCAGTAGTGGGATTGCTGGATTGAAGGGTAGTTCTATTTTTAGTTTTTTGAAAAATGTTCATACTGTTTTCCATAGTGGTTGTACTAGTTTACATTCCCTCCAACAGTGGACAAGCACTCCCTTTTCTCTGCATCCTCACTGACAACTGTGTTTTTTGACTTTTTAATGATAGCTATTCTGATTACTATAAGATGATAGCTCACTGTGGCTTTAACGTGCATTTATCTGATGATTAGTGATGTTGAGCATTTTTTCATATGCTAGTTGGCCTTTTATATGTTTTCTTTTGGAAAATGTCTATTCACATCCTTTCCCCACTTTTTAATGGTTTTTTTTTGTGTGTGTGAAATGGTTTGAGTTCCTTGTAAATTCTAAATATTAATCCCCTGTTGGATGCATAGTTTGCAAATATTTTCTCCCATTCTGTAGGTTGTCTGTTCATGCTGACAATTGTTTCTTTTTAGTTCTCCCTTCAAAAATATTGGTTTATTGTCTTTTCTCACAGATTTCTAGAAACTCTTTAAAAATTAGGAAAATTAGTATAGTCCGTTGGCTGTGATATGAGTTACAAATATTTTCCCTATTTGTCCTTGTCTTTTGACATTGCTTATGGTCTTATGGTGTGTGTGTGTGTGTGTGTGTGTGTGTGTGTGTGTATGTGCGTGTGTGTGTGTTTGCCATGAGTTTTTCTTCTTTGTGTAGCACAATTTGTCAATCATTTTCTAAAATGGCCTCTGGATTTTGAGTCACAATTAGGAAGGCATTCACTTCAAGGCTTTTTTTAGTGCTTTTTTTTTTTTTAATTTAAATCTTTTATCTATTTGGATTTTATCCTGATGTGTGGTGTGAGGTATAGATTCCATTTAATCTTTTTTGAAATGGTTTCCCACTTGTCCTAATATTGATCAGAAAGTTTATTTCTACCTCCATTGATTTGAGAAGCTGCTTTTATCATATATTAAATTGTCTTATGCACTTGGGTCTATTTTGGGATTTTTATTATCTTCCAGTTATGCACAAATATCACATTGTTTTAATACTTGAGGCTCTAGAGTATGTTTTAATATCCAGTAAGACTGCTCCACATCCCGTTACTCTTTTTTTTTACAGAATTTTCCTGACTATTCTTGTTTACTTATTTTTCCACATATGCTTATTCAGTTCCAGGAAACAAATGTTGGCATATTTAGTGCGATATGTTAAAACTATAAATTTGCTTAGGGATAACTGATATCTCCCTGATGGTGCCTATTTATGGGACATGCTGTGTATGTTTATCTGTTCAGGTGTACTTTTATGTCCTCCTCTGAAATGTTGCTGTATTTAATATACTTTTTTTTTTCAAAATATATATGTATTTTTATTTTGAATTTACAAAAAAATGCCACAAGGAATCATAATTATAGGCTTTGTTTATATGTATATATTCTTTTTTTTCCCATTTATTTATTTTATTGCATTTTAGGTTTTGGGGTACATGTGAAGAACATGCAAAATTGTTGCATAGGTATACATTTTTATACATACACAAAATCAAAGAGTATAGATAGTACAATAAACTCACATACACTCCTTATTCAAAATTTTTATGTCAAAACCCTAACACCCAGTACATCAAAACATGACTGTATTTGGAGATAGGCTTTTTAAAAAGGCAATTATGTTAAAATGAGGCAACTAGGGTGGGCTTTAATCTAATCTGGCTTGTCTTCTTGTAAGAAGAGGCTATTAGGACAGAGAAAACTGTACACAGAGGAAAGACCACTGAGGACTCAGCAAGAAGGTGGCCTTCCATAAACCAAAGAGAGAGTCTTCAGGAGAAACTAAACTTGCTGACATCTTGATCTCAGACTTCCAGCCTCCAGGACTGTGAGAAACAGATTTCTGTTGTTTAAGCCACCCAGTCTGTGATATTTTGTTACAGCACCTGGCTATAATTTAGATATGGTTTGTTTGTCCCCACGCAAACTAATGTTGAAATTTGATCCCCAACTTGGCAATATTGAGAGGTGGGGCTTACTGGGTTGTGTTTGGGTTTGGGGGGCAGATCTCCCATGAATGGGTTGGTGCTGTATTCAGGGTAATGAGTGCTTGTTGTCATGATACTGGATTAGTTCTTACGGGAATGGGTTATTTCCTGAGAGAACGGGTTGTTATAAAGCCAGGATGCCCTTCAGGATTTCCCCTCTCTTTGTATGTGCCCACTGCCCCTTTGACCTTCTCTGCCACATTGTAACATACATGAAAGAACATACATACATGGCAGAAGCCAGAGTCATGCCCTTGAACTTCTCAGCCTGCAGAACATGAGCTAAGTGTATCTCTTTTCTTTATAAATTGCCCAGTCAGAGGTATTCTTTTATAGCAACACAAAATGAAGTAATACACACCCCTAGCAAGTTAATGCAAATAATATTAAGATTTTTCTATTTCATTCTCTATCTTTTCCTCTTTACCTCCTGCAAATGATTTTAAAGCAACTTCCAAGCATTATTTCATTTCACTCCCTAAATATCTTTAGTATGCGTTTCATTAAAATGTGGGAATTTTCTTGTATAACTCCAAAGCCGTTATCGCATATAACAAAAATATTAAACACTCTCTTATTATAATATACAGTTGACCCTTAAACAACATGAGTTTGAACTGCATAAGTCCACTTACACATCATTGTCTTCTGTCTCTGCCACCCCTGAGACAGCAAGACTGCCTCTCCCTCCTTCTCAGCCTATTCAACCTGAAGACAATGAGGATAAAGACCTTTATGATGATCAACTTTCACTTAATGAATAGTAAACATACTTTCTTTCTTATGATTTTCTTATAACATTTTTCTCCAGCTTACTTAATTGTAAGAATATAATACATATAACTTACAAAATATGTGTTAATCGACTATTTATGTTATTGCTAAAGCTTCCAGTCAACAGTAGGCTATTAGTAGTTAAGTTTTGGAGGAGTCAATGTTATATGCTAGTTTTCAATTGTGTGGGGGTCAGCACCCCAACCCTTGCATTGCTCAGGAGTCAACTGTGATACATACTCAGTTTCCCAAGTGTCTCAAAATTTTTTTTATATTTTTATTTTTCTTAACTGTTAATTAGTTTGAATCAGGATCCAAACAAGGTCCACACATTACATTTCGTTGTTACATCCATTGATTCTTTTTGAATCTATAGCAATATCCCTTCCCCCCTTTTTATGCCCTAAGTAAATCAATTGAAGAAACTGGGTCAATTGTCCTCTGGAATGTTTCATGTTCTAGATTTGTCTGCTTGCTTCATTGTGTCATTTAATTTGTTCTTCTATTCCTCATATTTCTTGATAAGATTCACTTACTTGTTAAAGATATGTCATGGTTGGTGCTGGGTACTTCATATTGAATCAGAAGGCATATGTCTGGTTGTTTCATTTTTTGTGATTCTAAGATTGATCAGTGTGTTTAGGTGATGAATATCAAAGTGTTTGAAATTATTCCTCATAAAGGTTTGCAAATTTCTTATATATTCACTCCTATGTATGTAACCTTTTTGGCTGCTTTTTAAAGTGAAATCTTCCCTGCCATCATATCTTCTAATTGACAGTTTTTTGCATATGTGAAGGGAATTTATTTTTAGACATTAATTTTATATTTTACTAACCATACTAAATTTTGTTAAATGTTTGCAGCAGTTCTTTACTTGATTCTTTGGTTTTCATGTAGAAGACAATTCTATTATACGTGAGTAAAAATGTTTTTATTGCTTCCTTTCCAATTCTAATAATAATAATTTTTTTCTATTGTCTAGTTGGGGTAGCTAATACCTTCAATGCAATGTTACATAATAGTGGCAAGAATGAGCATCCTTTTTTCCCTCTTGACTATAGTGGGAAAGTTCCCAGTACTTCCACATTAAGTAAAACAGTGGCTTTTGAAGGAAACCTTTAAAAAAGCACATTTAAACTTGATTAGGCAAAAAGCCCAAACACCACCATTTGTCTATATTGAGCGAACTTATTCTATATCACTAAATAAGCAGGCTGGTAAAATTAGACTTATGAAATGTTGTCAGCTGATGGACAAAGGTGCATACCTTTGCTAATGTGTTAACTGCTTACCTTACAGTCTCCACAACTTCAACTGGAGAGGCAACTGCAACGCTGGTAGAAAAAGCAGTAGCTCTGGTGACCAAAGAGTCTATTTGGAATCTAACCAGCATTGTGACCTGGGGCAGGTCACTTCAGCTCCCTGTGCTTCAGTTCTTGACTTATAAAGTAAGGCAACAATTCTTTTTTTTTTTTTTTTTTTTGAGATTGGCTTGCTCGGTCACCTCTGTCACCCACACTGCAGTTCAGTGGCAAAATCGTAGCTCACTGCAACCTCAAACTCCTAAGTGCAAGTGATCCTCCTGCCTTGACCTCCCAAAGTGCTTGGAGTACAGGCAGAATCCACCACATCTGGCCGACCGTTCTACTTACTAGGGTTGTTGTGAGAAACAAAAGAGGTACATTGGTGAAATCATATATTTCAGTGCCTGGCACACAGTAGACACTCAACAAATGTTTGCTGAATATGTGAATATTAAGAAAATACACATGTATAAATCATATTTTTGTAAAAGTTTAAAATAGTAAATAAGTAAATGAAGAATGGATTATCTCTTTCCTCTCTCTTTTTCCACCTAGACTTTATTCTTTCAGATTTACTGGCCAAAGTTTTACTAAATGGACTGTGATCCAAAACAGGAAACTGTCCTAAAGGGAATTTTTATATTCTACTTTAAAGTAAAAATCCAAAGTTGAGCTAACCCTTGGAAAAATTAGCCTGGCCAGTCTGTCTTCACTTAGTCTCTCCACATACAGGGAAGTGGAGCAGGAGACATGGGCAGGAGGCCAGAATAGCGGCACACAGAGATTGGGAAATCGATTCCAGGGTTTGTGAGCTGGATAGAAATAGAAGAGGGAGTCTACATAGATTTTACCATTATCCTTTAAAAATAAATAAAGTCAACAAAAGCTAAAATGCACCACGCTACTGGTTTTACCTAAGATTCAAAGAGTGGCCTGTGGTGTAACTTGAAAGAGATAAGTTAAAAATCTTGATAGAAATTGTGGCCCCAGTTCCTGGCATCTCTTCATTAGTGTCTTACAACTTTCAGGGTTAGTCTGTTCATTTATAGGGTCCCTTATTAAACTGCCAACACTCTTGGATGTTAGTCAACTTTATTATTCAACAGTGAATTTAATATAATGTCAGAGCTTAAAGGGCCTTTCTTATGTGTATTGTTTTTTCATTTCATGTACCCCCATGAAAATAACTTTTTTACTGATTATGTGCAAAATAGGCCAGATGCAGTGGCTCACACCTATAATCCCAGTACTTTGGAAGACTGAAGCAGCAGGATCGCTTAAGCCCGGGAGTTTGAGACAGTCTGGGAAACATAGTGAGATCCCATCTCTACAAAGAATGAAAAAAACTTAGCTATGTGTGGTGGCACATGCATGTGATCCTAGCTACTTGGTAGGCTGAGGTGATGAAGATCCCTTGAGCCGGGGAGGTCAAGGTTGCAGCGAGCTGTGATTGCACCACTGTACCCCAGCATGGGTGACACAGCAAGACCCTGTCTCAAAAAAAGAAAAAGAAAAGAAATTCAATTTTTAAAAAGTTTCATAACCCCAAAACACAAAGAAGAAATTAAGGTCACCTGAAATTAATTATACCACCTGAGATAACCACCGTTAACATCGTGGTAACATATGTATATATATATATATATATATATATATATATATACACACACACACACACACATATATATTTTACTAACATACTAAATTTTGTTAAATGTTTATATTTAACATATGTATATATATATATATATATATATATATATATATAACCATTATACACAGTCATGCACCACATAATGATGTCTCAGTCAGTGACAGACCACATATACAACAATGGTCCCATAAGATTATAATATGGTATTTTTACTGTGCCTAAGTTTTGATATGTTTAAATGCACAAATATTTACCATTGTGTTACAGTTACCTACAGTATTCAGTACAGTAACATGCTGTAAAGGTTTGTCGCCTAGGAAAAATAAGCTATACTGTATAGCCTGCGTGTGTAGTAGGTTATATCATCTAGGTTTGTGTAAGTATATTCTATGATATTTGCACAATGACAAAATTGCCTAACTTCACATTTCTCAGAATGTATCCCCATTGTTAACTGACACATGACTATATATGTATATTTATTACATGTATACCGCTGTATACATGTAACTATTGGTAACCATCACACATATGTATGTGTGTAATATTATATTTATATAATGGTAACCATTATATATATATATATATATATAATATTATGCATTACATGTTGTTTTATTATGAATGCCTCCTATGCCCCTTACACCTCTACAAGTTATGTTAATAATGTTATGTGTCTCCTTTCAAGTTCCATTCCATTCACAGGACCCTACGGCTTCTGTGGCAGTACCTCTCATTATAAAGGGACAGACAGAGAGCATGAGTAACTTGGGATCCAGTGCGACCGCCCCTACTTCTACTGGACCAGATTAGATTTTATTTTATTCTTTTTAAATATTAGAAAATCATGGAAAATACTTTTAAGAAAGGAATTTTTTTTTTTTTAATTTGAAAACCACTGATCACCTGTGGTCAGTTCAACCTTCTGCATTTTAGGGATGAAAAAGCTGAGCGGGACAGACTTGCTCAAGGTCATTTACCAGAAAATAGAAGATTTTGCCTTTTTGCCATAGACTACTATCTTCTTACAATTCATCATCTTTTCTTACTTATCCAAAGATTATGTGTGTTTCTCAAGACATTGCTGGTCTGTACAAAATGTAAAGATAACATAATAATTAATGGTAAAAGACTGATTATTTCTCTGTGAGATCAGAAAAAAAGACAGGTTGTTTGATCTCACCCCTCCTATGCAATTTATATAGGGGAGGTCCCAGGTCGTGCAGTAAGGCAAGAAAAAAATGAAAGCATACAGATTGGAAAGTAGTAAGTAAAATTACCCAATTTGCCAATGGCACGATTGTATGTATAAAAATGCTAAGGAATGTTTTTAAAAAGTTGTGAAAAGTAGTAATTGAGTTTAGCAAAGCCAAAAGATGAAAGTCCTTGTAAAATATTTATTATAGGACAGGAGTTCTGGCATGACAGGAGGTTGAGAAATTCTCTCCTCAAAAAGCAACTATAAAGCTATACAAGATAGTGAAAAACAACCATTTCAACATTCTGGAATTCAAACAAAGATACAAAAAAAACAAAACAAACAAACAAAAAAACCTGAGAAGTATTTATTTGTGAAAACTACTGAACTTTGCACAAGAGCAGCATGTTTCTGGTATTTTTGCCTGGGGATAGTTCTAGACACCATCTACCAGCTCTGTATGTGGTGTAATGAAACCAAGGTGAGGAAGGCTATGCAAACCAGCAGTTTGGATGCCTCCGTGGGAGGGGCTCACTTGATTGGCAGCATTCATAGCGAAAGTGGCAAACTAGGTGACAAGTGAATGGGAAGAGCTAACGGCTCCATTAGCCTGAGGTTGTGTGCCTATTTTGGGCAAGCAAGAGACCAGCGGACTAGCTAGGAATGTAACAAGGTGTTTGGGGAGGTGACAAACATAGGGTGCTGATATGTATTTCACATATCCTGGCTTAATAAGAAGATGTGCACATGTGCAGTGGAGATTGGATTAGACTTAAGCCACCCACACATACCTGGTTGATGGAGACAGCAAACACTCCCAGAGGAGTCATGAAAAAGCTTGGCAAAAAGCAAAAACTTTGGAAGACTTGAAAACAGTCTGAAGTTTAAATGTTTTCCCAGCACACACAGAGATCCATCAGCAAAGAGAGAAAATCTTTCCGGCATAAGATGTTTGAATGCAACTACTGACTAATATTTGGCTTATCAGAAGCTATGAAGGTCCAGTGATCATCCTTAAATATCCATATTTTAAAACAAAAACAAGGGGGAAAACTAAATAAAGACATCAGTGGCTGCACATCACTGAGGCGACAGATTGTAAAGATTTAGCCCAGTCAACAAAGAAACAAAACAGAACAGAACAACAATAACCTGGGGCTGGTCAGAATTCAGAAGTGCTAGATTATATTATCCAAAATATTCAATATTCAACAACAAAATTATAAGACATGCATAAAAACAAGAAACTGTGACCTACACTTGATGAGGGAGGAATCCATTAATAGAAGCTGTTTATGAATATTCCCAGGTGTTAAATTTAGCAGAGAAGACTTAAAGGCAGCCATCATGAATATGTTTAAAGAACTAAAGTAAATAACTTAAGTTTAAAAAATTAAAGGAAAGTATGATGGTGATGACATATAGAATAGAGATAATTTATACAAAAGAGCTACATGCAAAATTTGGGAAATGAAAAGTAAAATAACTGCAATGAAAAGTTTTCTTTAGAGGTTCAATAGTAGATTTGAGCTGGGAGAAGATACAATCTGAAGAACAGAAATAAAAAAGAATAAAGAAAAATGAACAGAGCCTTAGAGGCTTGTGAAAAACCATAAAATCTACTAACATACGTGTAATGGAAGTCCTAGAAGAGAGGATAAAGGAACATAAAACATATTTTAAGAAATAATGGCTGAAATTTTCCCAAATTTGATTTAAAAATTAATCTATTCATCCAAGAAACTCAGTGATACCTCCAACCACCATCAGAATAAACACAGAAATCCACACCTAAGAATAACCTGAGCAAACTATCAAAAACCATAAAAATATAAAATTTTGAAATAAAAGCAGCAAGAAAAACAACAGGTGCATAAGAGCGATATGATTAATGGTTGACCTCATACCAGAAATGATATAGACCAAGAGGTAATGAGATAACATATTCAAAATGAGTGAATAAAGGAGAGAGAGACTCTTAATCAACTATTGTACATCCAAGAAAAGTATCCTTAGAAAATGAAGGTAGAGCAAGGGCATTCTCAAATAAACAAAAACTGGGAGAATTTGTTGGTCAGTAGCCTACCTAAAAGGAAATTCTAAAGGAAATCTTTAGGCTGAAAGAAAATGACAGCAGATGAGAACTTGAATTTCCAGGGAAAAATAAAGAGTTATGGAAATGGTATACCTGTAGGTAAATACCAAAGTTTCTAAAAATATATTACTTCTGACTTCCTCTCAACTTTTTAAAAAGACATGCAATTGTACAAACTAATAAATGCAACACTATATCATTGGGTTTATAACATATATTGATACACTATATAACAGTAGTAGCAAAAGGTAGGAGGAAGAAAAAGAGACATTTGAGTAAAATTTTATACTTTACTAAAATTAAGTTAGCATTATTCCGAAGTCAACTGTAATAAGCTAAGATGTATATTGTAAATTCAAGAGCATTAAAAGAAAATAATTGAAAATAATATGATAAATAACAAAGCAACAGATAAATTAAAATTATACACTAACATATTTATTTCACCTAGAAAAGGCAAATGAAGGGCAACATATGCATAAATAAAATGAAACAGATGAAAAACATATGACAAAATTGCAGACATAAGTCCAACCATATTAATGTTTATTAAATGTGCATGAAATAAACATCCCTTTCAAAAGTCAGAGATTATCAGCCAAGATAAACAAAAGCAAGCTCCAATTATACCCTGTCTAGAAGAGACACAACTTAGAGTCAAATAAATACATAGGTTGAAAGTTTGTGAAATGATGGAAAAAAATTATCCCACATAAATAGAAACCATAGAAATGAAATTGGCTTTATTAATGTCATAAAAAGACTTTAAGACAAGAAATGTTACTAGAAACAAAGAGAGACCATTAATATGATTAAAAGGTAGATCCATTTGGAAGATATTACGAGTATAAACATATATGCACTTAGCAACAGGACCTCAAAATATATGAGGCAAAACCTGACAGAACTAAAAGGTGGAATAGGCAAATAGCAATGATAGGTATTTCAATATCCCACTGCCCATAACTTATAGAAAATAAGCAAAGATACACAGACGTGTACATCACTGTTTTTTTTTTTTTTTTTTTTTTTTGAGACAGAGTCTTGCCAGGCTGGAATGCAGTGGCGCGATCCCGGCTAACTGCAACCTCCGCCTCCTGGGTTCAAGCAATTCTCCTCCCTCAGCCTCCCGAGTAGCTGGGACTACAGGTGAGTGCCACCACGCCCAGCTAATTTTTGTATTTTTTTAGTAGAGACGGGGTTTCACCATGTTGGCCAGGATGCTCTCGATCTCTTGACCTTGTGATCCACCCACCTTGGCCTTAACCAACTTGTCCTAATTACCATTTTTGGAATGTTCCACCCAATGACTATGGAATACACATTCTTTTAAGTGCATATAGAACATATTCTAGGATACAGCATGCACTGGGTCAGAAAAAAGTCTCGGTAAGGTGGAAAAGATTGCAATTATAAAAGGGTAAAAAGGAATGAGCAAAGTCTCCAAGAAATATGGGACTATGTGAAAAGACCTAATCTATGTTTGATAGATGTACCTGAATGTGACTAAGAGAATGAATCCAAGCTGGAAAATACTCTTCAGGATATTATCCAGGAAAACTTCCCCAACCTAGCAAGGAAAGACAATATTCAACTCCAGGTAATACAGAGAACACCACAAAGATATTCCTCAAGAAGAGCAACCCCAAGGCACATAATCGTCAGATTCACCGGGGTTGAAATGAAGGAGAAAATGATAAGGGCAGCCAGAGAGAAAGATCCGGTTACCCAAAAAGGGAAGCCTATCAGACTCAAAGCAGATCTCTCAGCAGGAACCCTACAAGCCAGAAGAGAGTGGGGGCCAATATTCAACATTCTTAAAAAAAAGAACTTTCAACCCAGAATTTCATATCCAGCCAAATTAAGCTTCATAAGTGAAGGAAAAATAAAATCTTTTGTGAACAAGGCAAGTACTCAGAGATTTTATCACCACCAGGCCTGCTTTACAAGAGCTTCTGAAAGAAGCACTACACATAGAAAGGAACAACCAGTATCAGCCATTCCAAAAATATACCAAAAGGTAAAAAACATCCACATAATGAAGAATCTACATCAACTAATGGGCAAAACAGCCAGCTAGCATTAAATGGCAGTATTAAACTCACATACATTAATATTAATCCTAAATTTAAATCGACTAAATGCCCCAATTAAAAGACACAGACAGGCAAATTGGATAAAAAGCCAAAACCCATGGGTATGCTGCATCCAGACCCATCTCACATGCAAGGATACACAAAGACTCAAAA